GTACATACGATTGTTAACAACCGGTTCGTGGAGGTCGTTAAATTCTAAGAACAGGTTCGCACGAACCGGCTGAATCCCACCACTGATAATAACCAAATTTAAATGAATTTTTTTATTACCCCACGATTCGGGAGTTATTAATAGTGCTAGAATATGCCATCATAATTTCCGTAAACCTGAAATAATAGTAGATTTAGCCCTCAAGCGGTAAGTCTGAAGGCTTATAACACTGCAAACCAAGTTTCGATATTCGTTGTGGGTACAGCACAGATATCCCATTGTTTAATTTGTGTTTAGCAACAAATAGATAAACAATATATCTATATGTACATATTCTATTTGTTTAGAAATTCATTAAGCAAAGGGTTAGTCTAAATCAAATAAAATGTAAAGTTAACAAATTCAAGTCTTTATAATGAACTATTAAGCTTTACACGGCTGTATCTCCTACATCAGTGGTTCTCAAACATTTTTGTTACGGACCACCTTAATTTTTTTCTTCGTGTTGCTTACAATGGGATCTATTGAACATATGCTGCCGCTTCGTTTCAGTAATTATGCATCATTTCTATAGACCACCTGAAGAGAGCTGCTGAATCTCCAGTGGTCGGAAGACCATAAATTGAGAATTGCTGTCCAAAGGCGTTTTGAGCATAAATAAGCCAGGTTTCGATTAAATATAAAACATCCCCAGTTCTTTTAATGAGCTTTTGAATATGAAAGGGCTGTGACTCATAAATCTTTGGTCTAGATAAATTTTTGATTAAATAAACAGTAAGAAATTACGTATATGTGTATGTGTGTCTGTCATATACATTTTTGCCCAGAAAATTAAATCTAACTATATACATATATATACATTATGACAGTTGGCAAAAAGAATAATATATATTTTAAATTCCGACAGAAACTAACCTCCTTTTTGCGTCGACACATTATTATCCTACACAAAACTCAAGTAGCTCATGAAAAGAAGTATGTTATAGGTCAAACCACTAAGGAGTTAATATATGTTTTTTTAATATATATAATTGTGGATCCAACGTTTCGGGCAATGCCCTTCTTCAAGTATCACTAACTGAACAGTAAACTGGATCTTTTTCAACAACCACTACGCGTAATTTCCCACATAGTTTTATACAAACTTCAAATAGCTCATGACCTAGTACGAAACTTTTGACATGTAATTTGTTTATTCCTTTGCGCAAACGTACATCCCCCTATGTAATATTGGCATTATGACTGATTATCAAACACTTGCACAAACAATGAACAATACTAAACTCATTAATCGCTTAACAAATACTGGTGGTGATGTCAAAAAATATTAGTGGTGTACTTTCATTCAGATACTTTGGTTATCATTGACAGACTAAGGATCTGGCTAGCTAAGATATATATTTTAAGGCTTAATACTTTGGTTATCATTGACAGACGAAGGATCTGGCTAGCTAAGATATATATTTTAAGGCTTAAACTGCAAAACCCAAAGATAATCATTATTTTTGACAAAAAAGAAAATAACACTTTATTCATAAATAAATCGAAAACACAATAGTAATAACAGTCGAGGATTCTAACACAACCATATGAACAAAATGAATAATTCAAACTCTAGGTGTTAAAACATTGGTTTATGTGCTGGTAATAGTTCTATTTTAAGATGATTGTTTTGTTTTCAGCTTTGGTTGTTGTTGTTTTTTTAATATCATACAAATTTACTAAAGTGGCAACATATTTTACAATCTACTTAATAAATGTGGCTGTAAATTTTGCTTAACCTACGCTAATGATCTCCTAACAAATGCTATTCTCACTCAAAATATTACTTACTTTCAAGTCTGGCATAGCCTGGTGATTAGAAGCTCGACTTCCATTGTGTAAGTGGATCGAAACTTGGCACCAAAATGTCTACTTTTTCGGTACTGAGTATGTTGTAATGTGGCTGTCAACCACATTATTCGCTGGTAAAGGGTAGTCCAAGAGCTGGCGGTGGTGCCGACCGATTGCATTCTTTGTGGTCGGCAGTTCGATATTAGACACAGCGGCACATAGCCTTAGGAGCTTTGTCATAATAAACAGTAATTATATATGTATGGACTTAAAAATATTTATATGTAATATGATCAACAATTTCTTTCTTACTGTTAGTATTTGCTGAGTAAATAATACAACAAAAATTATGTCCAGCACAATGGTACGAACTGTTTGAAATGAAATTGGCTAATCTGTTGCGCACTACATTCTGGAACAACGAATCTGGAAGTATGGTTGAAAACTTTTAACTCACAGCATTAATCTAAGTTTATACTTAATTTATGTACACTCTCCTCCATAATAGAGTTTGTCCTTTATGTTATTTACAAAGCTAAAATCCTAGGTTTGATTTCCCCGTGTTATGTAGTTTTGCGCCAATACAAACAAAGAAACATTTATATTATGTGATAATTATGGATGAAAAAATTACATGATATGAGAAAGCATTTGTTTTGTATTTTAAACTGAATTTTCTTAAAATAAATAATTCGTTGGTCGTAAACATTAATAAATGTAACGTCTTAAAATCGCCATAAAGAGACAAGATATTCAAAAGGAAAGAAACATTTTTGTGTGTGTGTACTGTTTCAGTCTAATGCAGTAAACTGCGGTTAGGTGTCATCGTTTCAACAGGGAAGTTGAGAGCTTTGGTGGAAAGACTGGTGAATTTTATTTTTTATTAATATTTCTTATACTGATACTATGGGTGTCTAAAAGAGTATTTGAAGCAGATTTGTAAGACTTTGGGATGTTCGATAAGATATAGAGTAAAATAATAAGATCTACGGTTAGATTTGTTTGATACCTAGTGTACTGAACTTGTTTCCGACTATTTGAAGTTAGGCCTAACTAGTTCAGAAATGCATTTAACTTGAGATGTCCTTTACAGTTTACTATGTAGGTTGGAGCTGTTAACGTTTTAACAGTGTTAGGCAATAGAATATGTTGTCTATAACACGGGCGTTTGTTATCAATATCATTTATTCAACAAGTCTCGCCAACTATATATTTTACTTTAAATTGAACGATGATGTATTTGACGTATGATAACATGTTTTTTTTCGTAAATGTTTTGGTTCAACTTTAAGTATTTTCCATGTATATAAACCTTTATTAAAGTTTATAAGATTATGTTCAACTATTAGTAGGGGGTCTCGCTGAACATTACATAGGTAAAGTAAAACAAAAAACATTAAACACCATTGGATTTCACAATTAACATTTAGTAAATTTACACTACAATTCGAATTATTTAATAATTAATGAAAATTATTAATTGTACTTGTATTTTGACCATTCACACTATGTAGTCATGCAAACTTTCTAATTGAAGCAATACAAATAAGTTATTAAAACTGCTTTACCTGGTAACCTGACACATTGTGCAAAACCTGAGATAAGTTTATATAGAATGTAATCCTAAGAAGATACTTTAATTGAAAACCTATTTTTGCTAGTTTTCATTGTTCTGATAGATGAAATGACAACTCATTCAACAATCTAATGTTAAAAAATAACTTGTGTTACATATTTATCTATAAAAGTAAAGGAGAACTTTTGTATTCTCATTGGTTTTACTACAGATGCATACCTGTAGTAAACCCCACTCTTTCTACATCATATCTTGCAATAATTTTTACATTGTAGGTTCAAGTTATGGATGTTAGGCCTACTCTGTGTCATGCACTAAATTAGTCTAAAGTTCTTTTGATCTAGCCAGGTCCTATGCTGTGCCATGAAGTAAACTATTGTAAAGCCAATGTATTGTCTGTTTACAGTTCAAATTCATCTTTATTTTGACATGTTGATTGGAACTGTGCAAACATATAATGACATGTATCAACTTATGAATTATCAAATAAGTACCATAAAGTTTATTATATTGCTTGTTTTTTCAAAGTAAATGACCAGTAGGTATTTATTAAGTGTTTTAAAATTTTGTTTGTGTGTTTTCAAATAGAAAATGCTTATGGATACAAAAAAAAACACACCCAGCACTGACTATTATTTGCCAAGCACTTACTTGCTGATGTCCTGTTTTTGCCTAACATTTGCCCATTGGTCACCACCAAATGGTGGAGGAATCTTTAATCATCATGGCGATCTTCTTATAGTTGATTTACAACTAGTGGGAGTATGGATGCTTTCAAATAAACAGTGCAAACTCAGCATGTAATAGTACTGTAATCTTTTTTCATTAGTCCCATTTGATTATGGGAGATTTAGATATTCAAAACTGTGAATTCACACTCAGGCACTTCTGTGGTCAAGAACTATGATTCTCTGGGAATTTCTACAATTAAATCATGAGGTAATACCTTTATTTTTAAGGTGAAAAACTCTACTAGGTGTTCACACTGTAAACTGCTCATTTTTAATGCACATAATAAGTTATTAGCAGCATTAAGATGTGAAAAATACAAACTATTTCTACTACATCATAATCCACTTACATAATCGAAAAGCAACACAAACCCTCAATCACTGAATCAACAGAATAGTCACAGGAGGGTGTGGAATTTTTGAAAAACTTCATGTCCAAGGGATAAAATGCCAATTATCTTTCTTAAAAATCTACTTTTCCTCCATCTCATTAAACACACACAAAAAGCAGAATATAGCTTTTAGGATTTTGCATTAACTGAACACAATTAATACAGTTCCATTGGCAGGTAACTTTTATAGAAAATAGCATGTACCAAATTTTGTATCTAAGCTCTTCATATATATATATATATATATATATATT